AATCCCAGCATTCAAGTACTTGGGAGGCAGAGGTGGTTGAATCTCTGAGTTCAGGGCCAGCCTGGTCTACAGAGGGAGTAGTTCCAGGACTATACAGAGAAACCCACGTTCCACCTCCGCAGGCTTCGTCTGAGAATTCAAGCTGAGCTAGAGACATGGAAGACTCCAAAATCAAAACTCAAAAGACTTACTGTGTTTCTCTAGCAAAGGTGGGTGAGGAAAGCTGTGATCCTCAGTGTCCACCGTGGCTTGAAACAAAGAGGGTATCATATTAACCCTTTATTCCCCTAGACTGAGCTCAGAGAACTTTTTCTCCAAGCCTTCCAATGCCTCATTTTAAACATTTTGGTCAAAAGTCATTACGAAAGAGTTCAGAGTCGTGTTTTTTATAATTTGGGGGAGGGCAGGTATTAGTAATGGTGTTGCAATTCCAAGACTGGGATGTGCATCACTCCTGTTGAATACGTGGATTTAAGAGTTTAGAAATGAAAGAAGGTATGCATGGAAACCCCTAGAATATGATAAGTTTGAAGGAGCTAGGGATGTAGTTCAAGGTGGGGGACATTTGCCTAGCATGCAGGAGGCCTTTTGGTCCATCTCAAGTGCCATAACAAACAAAAACCAAAGAGCAAATTTTGGAGTTTTCATGTTAAAGTGCTCATCTAGATCCAGGACTTTTCACAGTGGGCCAGTTATGTCAGCTGTCAAAGGAAACCCAGGGATCAGTCTGGGGTACCAGAGCAGAAAACAAGACCAACTGCCATCCTATCCCAGTCTCAGAAGACAATGGGATTCCCACCAAGAAGCCTGGTGACCCTTCCTTGCTAGGAGAGGGGGACACCCCCCCCCAAAGTTAGGACTCTCTCTCCCCCAATCTATTCTCTGATCTGGCCTAAGTTTACCTCCTGGGACCCCTCCCTGACCAGACTGGATTCCATGTTAAGATGCCTTTGAGAGTTCCTCTGTAGAGATGCATAACAGGTTGTCAGCCTGTCACACTTCAACTCAGTCCTCTACTTTGGGGAGGGAGGAGGAAGAGGGGTTTCCAAAATACAGCTGTGCAAAGGAGTGAAGGTCGAACTAAAGCATAATTTCAGTGACACAGACAGTGCCGGGTCAGCCAGGCAGCCACACCAGAGAAGCCTGCGTGACAATGCCTGTTCCAAAGGAAACAAAAAATAGAATTTCTCAGCTGTCTAAAGTCAAGCTGAACCAATTAACTCAGCTCAGAGAAAGCAAAACTCCTGTGGTAAGCTGGATACTGCTTGGAGATGATCTCCAGGCTGAAGTTCTTGTCCTTGTGGCCTTTAATTTCCCTGGGTCAGTTGCCTTATCTTAATGCACCCGAAGCAACCAGGTAAAGTACTTGGCAGGATGCCTTCCTCGGGGAGTGCTCCATAAAACTTCAGTAAAAGTAAGTGGCAGCAAAAGCCTGCCTGCTTCTATTCACACCTTTCCTGGAGTCTCACCAAGCTCCTCATTTTGCAGATGAACAAATTGAGGCTAAGGTAAATTAACTAGTTTGCTGAGGAAATGACCCTGCCAAGAGGCAGTTTCAACTTATGCCTTCCCATAGAATGAGGATAATTGTAACCACAGTGCCCAATACAGTAAATGCACTACCAACGCTAATTTCCCTTGCGGGGAAGAGAAAAGAAATACACTTAACAACAGCTTTCAGCTAGAAAAGCCAGCTACCAAAAATCTGGTGATGCCAAACATGAAGGCACATATTGATGTTTAATAAGGATCAGGAGAAACAAATAGGCCGAATCGATGTTTATTCAGGTAGAAATAACTTACAACATAGATGAACACCAGCAGATACCTTGTCCCAAGGATGTCTCCTGATGTACTCCTGTCCCTGTGCTGCAAGAGAGCTCTCAGAGCCCCCTCCTCAGACTTAGTTCCCCCAGGTAACATCGGCCCCTGTCTCCACCCCCAATGGGCGTGGTCTGTGCCACAGGTGCAGACAAAGTGAATATCTCACTAGAGGCACATGCCTCCAGAGGGATCAGGAGGAATAATTATGCATTCAAGGGCAACCTGGACTACATGCCAGGACATTATCTCAAAAACTAGCTGGGCTGTGGTGGTGCATGCCTTTAGTCCCAGCACTCATAAGACAGAGTTCAAGGCCAGCCTGGTCTACAGAGTGAAAAACCCTATCTCTAAAATAAAAAAACAAAACAAAACAAAAAACCCTAAAATTAGGTGAGCATACTGGTACACATCTTTAATCCTAGCACTTGGGAGGCAGAGACAAATGGATCTCTGAGTTCAAGGCCAACATAGTTTACATAATGAACAAGACAGACAAAGCTACATAGTAAGACCCTGTATCAATCAATCAATGAATCAATAAATAAGTAAGATTTATTTTAAAACAACAACTAAAATCAGAGCCCAAGATGTAGAAAAATGCCCTGGGCTCTACCCCCAGCACCTGCAGTCACAGCAAGGTGAAGGAAGGACTGTCAAGGTCATCTTCTTCAGTTAGGCCTGAGACCCTGCCTTAAAAAAAAAAAAAAAAATTACAACAATAATGAGGTGCAGTTATCACTTGAGAATTCAGAAAATAGGAAGGCAAGGAGGACAGTCATAGGGTCCCAGGTTGATGTGTTGGCACAGCTCACCCACAGTCTCAACAGTGGAGGGAAGGCCTGACAATGTCTTCCTAGGCTTCTCCCATTTTTCTGTGCCTTTGACTATGCAGCCCAGTTTGCAGCAGTAAACCCCACCCCCACCCAAGCATAGCTACCTACTGCTCCCACCCCAGGAATGGTCAACTAAGGGGTTGCTTTGTGATGACCAGGGCAACTCAGACCAGCTAAAATCCAGTACCTCAGGTGGAAAATACCCAGGCCACCATAGGCAGCCAGATGGGAAGAAAGATTTTTGAGTTTTTGGTTTTTTCCTTAAACCAATTTCCTGAGGCCTGAGGCAGCGCCCCGAGTCACAGATCAGAAAGCCGAGAGAAGCAGATTTTTTACAGATTAAGCTGAGGCTGGCAAATGCTTTTATTGGTCCTTTCTCTCATTTCTTGGGTTTTTCCTTTGAAAGTAGGGAATTTGCCCAGTTGGAGTTGAGAAGGCTTTAGAGGGGGTGTGTGTGACAAGGCTGTCCTTGTTCATTCAAGCAAGTATCTAGAATTTTCTCCAAATCACACTGGCCTGATGTTGCTCAAATCCTTTTTTCTGACCTTTTTTTACCTGTCCACTTTGGGAGCGGAGGTATCACTGACAGACACCACCTCAAAATAAAGGGCATTTTGATTTTTCAAACACCCTACGGAAGCCACCTGGCTTGTAAAGCTACCACTATCAGATGCACCCGGCTGTGTACACCCCCCCCCATTCCCTTCTTGTGTTTTGAAGTTTATTTTCCCACATTTAGCCTTTAATTCTTTCCTTCCTTCCCCTGCCATAGCAGAGGAGCAGTAGGGAGGGGGACACTTTGAGGGAAGCTCAAGCCCCATAGTCCTCCTCTGCCTCCCCCAAACAAAGCCCTGGAGTAAACCACAAGAACTCTGCTCCTGATATATTGTTTCCTCCCTCCAGGGAAACCATAAACTGCCCACCTTCTTCCTTCAATACACCAGACATAGCAGGCACCTAGCAGGGGTGTCCTGGAATCTTTCCAGAACCCTCTGGAAGAGGAGCTAGACCAACCATTCATCTTTTGAAACTCACCCCCAGAAACTGCACAGGGGACAGATGACTATAAAAATACAACACCCCACCTGGTAGTGTAAACAGGCTTCCAGAGGACAATTCTCTACATAGCCCATGATCCCTTAGGCACCTAAATTACGTGTCTTTATCTCAGTGAATGTCCATCTGCAAACTGGAGACAAAATAGGAAGTTAGTACCACTAAATGTGTTCAAGTTTTCTCGAAAGTTTTCAGCGTTACAGTAGTCCAGGGTAAGACAAGAATGAAGATGGGTTTGTTCCCATTTGAAAAAAACAGGAAACTGGGCCTGGAAAGTGAGAGACATAACAGGGGAAAGAACTGAAGAGGTGATGTCGATTAAATATACCTGATCAGATCTGTAATAGCTTGGCCAATCTATCCCTGCTCCAATCTAATCCCACCATTATCGATAGGAGGCCATTCACACATGGATAGATAGTTAGCTCACGCCAAGTTAGCTCAAGGTTCCAGTTGGGATGGTCAGCCAAGTTTACCAAGGTGAGATCAATGCCATCCACTGAGGGTGTGCATTCTCAGATGAGAACCTCCATAAGCCAACATCGAGGGAACTTCCCTTCACCCACACTCTCTTCCCCTACCGGTTTTGGGTGTTCGTTTGTTCAACCTTCTACTTTAACAAAGTTTAACTCCAAGTCCTTGAGGGATGTCTCAGCTTGATAAGACTTCCGGGAAGCCTGGTAGCGTCCCCAGCATTCCAGTCTCAGGCCTTCCTCCGGGGCACTCAGGACACGTCCAAGCCCCCCCCCCCCCGCCCCGCCCTACTCTTGACAGCAGGGATCCGTGGGTTTGGTTTTGCCCGCTAAGGCTCTGGGGGCTATCAAGAAAAACTACTATATTCGAGTTCTTAAGAAAGGTCGAGCGGCGCGGCAACGTCCCAGGAGCAGGAGGTGGAGACTCGAGGAGTGGCACCAGGCTCCGCTCCCGAACTCCGGGAGCGTCTCCAAGGAAAGATAAACGCCTTTATCCGCCCCACAGTCTCCCCTCAAAGCGGGAGGCACCCGCACACCCACACTGAGCCACCGCGGGGCCCAGCTCACCCTGGAGTCAACCCCAAATTTTCTCGGAACGTGCTAGGTTCTGACCAAGTCTGCGCGCGTGGAGAATCCCCTTGTCTTTGGACAAGAAACACAGATCGTTTCAACCTGACACCTGACGAGTAACTTCCTCCCCACTACCCTGGGACCTCTCGTTGGCTTGGGAGGAGGGAGGGGTGTACCCTAAAACACTGCTGTAGCCTCAACAGTTTCAGGTGCATGTGGAGGATTCAGGCGACCGACGGCTCACCTGTAGGATCTTGTCCAGGCCCTCCTGGCTCAGGCACGGAAACTCCTTGAGTAGATGCAGTTTCTGTGTATAGTAGTTTTTCTTGGCCTCCTTCCAGTGAGGCTCCTCCAGCACTTCGAAGATCGCCGCCCCGATGGCCAGGTAGAAAATGATGGCCGAGGTGAGTAAGGGACCCCGGTCCACCATGGCTCTTCAGTGGCCACCTCCTGGAGAAAGCGTTCCCTAGTTCCAGTGGCTCTGGGTCCACCGTACTGCAGCCCTGGACACAGCTGTTTGAATTTGGAGCTCCGCATGCGCAGTGCCCGGTACCACCCCCCCCCCCCTCGCGCGCTGCTCCCGGGACAGTTGCTTGGCCAAGTTGGCTCAATGAGCAGAGGGAACTGCGTGGATCAAGCTCACGCAGGCCAGGGTAAGCGCACACCAAAAGGGGCCTGGGTTCACCCCCAATCTCTCGATCCTGAAGCGGAGGGTGAAACTCAGGAACCACACCGGGAGACACGTGTGGCGCCCTGTGCGCGCGACAGTACGCCGAGCGCGCTTCCGCACCGCTCTTTAAGCAGCGCGCAGCCAGCCAGCGCCAGACTCTGAAATGGGTGTGGTCCAGCGCAGGACCCGCCTCTGACCCCGCCCATCGCGCGCCTGAAGTCCCTGCCTCAGGCTTAGTACTCTGCACGCTCCAGGCACAAGGCTCAAAGGCTTGCCCAAACCTCCATGACCTGCACTGTCCCAGGATTTGCGGTCTGCAGGACTCTAGTTGTGTATTAGCAATTGATGTAATTAGCTAAAACGGCCGTGCACCTTACTGCTGAGGTTAGAAATAAATTGCTAGTCCAAATGTTTCTTCCCAGAGATCTTAGGTTCCTCACCTATTCCTGGGACTCACACAATTACCTTCCAGCCCAGAGTAAGGGATTTCGATTTGAATTAGGATTAATTCTAAACCCAACTACAAACGGGCGAAGAACCCATCCAGGTCATCTGTGTTCTCTCCCCGTCTGAGGAAGGCAGCAGGCAGCCACACCCACATCGCAAGGTCCTCTTCCTTATCCAAGCCTACTTAAAATTGTAACACCACTTCCCCGACTCCTGACCACAACAGGAATACCAACTGAAGAGGCTAGAAATGCTTTCTGTTCAATGATGTGTCTATCCACAAACCTATTACTAGGGTCAGGTGTGGAGATGGTGCACACTTATAGCACCAACTAAAAAAGTGGGCGGATCTCTGTGCATTTGAGGACAACCTTGTCTACATAGCAAGTTCCAGGCCACCTAGAGCTACATAGTGAGACGTCCCTAGCTCACACACACACACACACACACACACACACACACACACACAAAACTAGGCCAGTTATGGTGGGTGGTTATGGTGGCTCTCACCTTTAATCCCAACACCCAGGAGGCAGAGCAGGCAGATATCTATGAGTTCTTGGCCAGCCTGAGCCTGGTCTACATAGAGTTCCAGGACAGCCAGGACTACACAGTGAAACGTTGCCTCAGAAATAAAAACAATAAATTTTATAAGTACAATGAAGGTGTGAGTACATATATCAAAAAATGTCTGGGTTATTTCTCACTTTGCTTACTTTCCTGAGCAAGCAACCCATGGGCAGACTGCATGTTTTTGTATGATAATAATCAGGGTTTGTCGTTAGATCCATTTCCCAGTAAAGACATGGAAGCTCTGGCAGAATAATTTGTGCAGTCTCCACTAAGGCCAGTCAGAGGTTGGAGGTACTGGAACCACAAACTGTCCCCTACCTCAGGCCTCTGTGGAGGCAGGTACAGCAGAGGGCAAACTCCTTAGCAGCTCCCCAGAGCCTTTTATTTTTGTGGGAGACAGGTGATTAATCTTCATAGGCAGGAGTTACAAGGTTATCTGTGGATCTTCAAATCTTGCTGAAGCTAAGTCTCAATCTACATTGCTGATCAATCACTGATTTTTGTTTTATTTGTTTAAGACAGGGTCTCACTATGTTGCTCTGACTGTCCTGGGACTCACTATGTAGACCAAGCTAGACTCAAACTCACAAAGACCCATCTGACCCTGCTTCCCAAGTGCTGGGACTAAAGATGTGGCCACCATGCCTAGCCTTGAATCATTGTTTGTAGATCTTGTTTGTAGATTCTGAGTGATCCCTGAGGGAGAAGCCTAAGCAGGAAACAGAGAAAACCCAGGCTTCCTGGGCAAGAGAGGTGACTTAGCAGTTAAGAGACATAATGCTATTGCAGAGAATCCAGGCTCAGTGTGTAGCACATGAACTGCAGCTCATAACAGCCTGTAACTCCAATTCTAGGAGACCCAATGTCCTCTCTCTCTCTCTCTCTCTCTCTCACACACACACACACACACACACACACACACACACACACACACACACACCATATCAAATAAATTAACTAAATAAAGAAATATAGAAAAAACCCAGACTTCATAATTTTGAAACCCAGAGACCTACAGTGCCTATTCCCTTGGAGTGCTTCCAGCCAAGGCTAACCCTGAACCATGACCATGTCTTAGGGTGACCCTTCTCCAGAGGACCCACTCCTCATTAGCACCATACCCCCTTCCTGTCCTTTTCTAACACTTATCCCTCCAACATCCCTGATGTAGTCTGAACCCCAGTCTCACAGCCTCAGTCTCCAACCCTCAAGTAGCTATAGAGATCACATGTCTGTCCCAAGTGTGCCCAGACCTCCCCATGGCTGGGGCTCACCCTCTTTGTGATAAAGTCAGAGGCTGCATGGGGTGCAAATGCTTCAACCAGCTTGTGGTAAGCACAAGCGGAGAAGTCACCTAGCCCTCCAGAAAATTCTCTGCCATTTCTATCTGCCCAGGCAGTTGTACTCTCATCCTGGGAAGGAAAGGGGGCCTCTCTCTTCTTATTTCTGCTTCACTGCCTCACAAAAGCACTGCAGCACACACCAAGTCAAACTGATCTTTATTCAAAGTTCTCTCTCTCTCTTGCTCTCTCTCCTTTCCTCTCCCTCTCAGAAGCCCCAACAAGCATGGAGGTCAGAGGTCAACCTCAAATGTCACTCCTTAGGTACTCTCCAGCTTTTTATATTATTTGTTTATTTTTATTTATATGACAGTGTGGGCTTTTGTGGATTTATGTGCACCATGTGCATGTAGGAGCCCACAGAGGCCACAAAGGGCACTGGATCCCCTGGAACAAGCAATTGTAAGCCTCCATGTAGGTGCTGGGAACTGAACCTTCTGCAAGAGCAGTCGGCTCTAGCCCTCTGAGCCATCTCTCCAGCCCCCAGATTCACTTTTGGAGACACTCTCACTGACCTGAAGCTGGTCAATTAGGTTAGACTGGCTAGCCTAGGAGCCCATGAGAGTACCCCTTTTGGCTTCCCAGCACTGGGGTTCAAGCACACTACCACCCTCTGCTTCTTCTTTTGACACGGGCTCTGGATGTTGAAGTCAGGACCTCATGCTTATGCAGCAAGCACCTCTCCAACCTAGAACTATTTCTCCAGCTCTATTATTCAAAATGTTTTCACTTTTAGTTTCTCTTTGCTTCCTCTGTTTCCTGTTACTTTTTTCTTTCTGTGTCCAGGATGCTGTCTGTCCATCCTCCTCTGAGGCACTAGCCCTCACCTTTCTATATTTCCCCCACACTCCTTTTCTTAGCTCTCTTCTCCTGCCTCTTGTTCTCTTGTCTGTCTCCTTCCCACTTGAATGTATTCTTTCTCTTTTTCCCCTCTCTCCTGTCTCATATTTAGATCATGCTTTCCCCAGGAAACCAGTAGTAGACACAGCTGCATGGACACTGCTAGCATGACACAGCAGAACACCCAGTAGGGTCTTTTGCCAATATCAACATGTTTAAATACAATAAGCCTCGAGGATGGAAAAGAGAAAAATCTGTACTAGGAAGTGGAATGATAGGATACATATTTTTAAATTTTTATTTAAGTTTCATTACATTGTATTTACTTACACATGTATGTACATATGTATGCATGCATGCAAGCATGTGCATGCACACATACTTGTTACAGAGTTCAATACCCCCAGGAAAAGACCTCCAGATCCAGTTAGATTATAATTAGCCAAATTTATTAAAACTGCCAGCAGGGGTACAGACTCTAAGGCAGAGAGGGACCCAGGGAAGGGTTTTTAAAGGCAAAAACCACAAGGTGACCTTGAGTATCTGCATAAGCGGGTTACAAAAGCCAAAATCAGTAGTTAGTCATATCATAACAAGCAGATGGTAACAGCTCTACATTTCTGGGTTGTTGTCAAGGAATCATAGTTGCAGGGAACTTATCTTTTAGAAATGTGACTCAGAGTTAAACAGCTATTAGGTACCAAGATGGATGACTAACACAAAATGGAGTTTCTTTAGCCATCAGAAGACAACTTTGTGGGAGTTGCTTCTTTCCTTCCACCATGTGGATCCCAGAGACTTAACTCAGGTCCTCAGGCTTGGCAGCAAACACTTTTATACACTGAGCCATCTTGCTGGCCCTATTGTACTAATCATCATTTGGGAGTACTATATCCTAAAAGGCAGGTGGGGTGTGAGAATGGAGTTGGGCTCATGGCAATTCTGACCACAGGAAGTACCTGAGTCCCTCTTGGAGAAATTGGCAGAGTGAACAGTTGTGCAGCCTAAGGTCATACAGGCTCTGGCCACAGAAGTATCCACACCCAGTTTTGTTTCTTCCTTATTACAATTAGGCAACTAGATTATCCTCTTAATAAAACCTTGATAATCCTTTTATTACTATTCTTCGGATGCCCCTTCACTTACCACAACCATTGAGATGAATCCACTATGGCCTAAAGACATCTAAGAGTACATTTACAGCACCTAGCCCACAGAGTACCAGAATGGAAGACTGGAGCCTTGGGCAGTGGGATGCATCTGTGGTTAACCAGGGTGACTCAATGTGGATAGAGAGCTATGGCTAGTTGCAAGTCAGAACAGGGGCAAGGACTGTAATAAACTGGAAATGTAGAAATGTTGCTTCTATACTGTCATCAAGTGAAAGAACCAACAAGTCTGACCAGCTATTTCTATTTAATAATATTAGTGTGTCTACTAATTTTCCTCTAAAGAGCATCTGACCAAAAGAGATAAACATAAAGTGGTTCAGTAACACGTTTACTTTCTTTCTTTCTTTTGTTTTTTTTTTTTTTACGTCACTAAAACTTTATTTCCTAAAATAACAAACAGAACCCAGTAGTTGCTGCCAAGACTGACAACCTAAAGTCAATTCCCAGGTCCCATACAGTGAAAAGAGCAAACCATGGCACACAAACCCATACTCCCCAACAAATAAAATGTAAGAAACAAC